GGGCGGTGGAGGGCACTGAATAACAGGTAGCCTTTAGTCTGGAACCTGAATCCACACGCAGCAACTGGAGCAGATCACTGTGGAGCCGGCTGCGGGGGGGGTGGGGGGGGGGGGGGGGGGGGAGCTGGGAGATGCAGACACCCACAGTCCTCACAGGCCCATGCTGCCCACCCCGACCCCCTTGTCACACTTTACATCTTGAGGCAGCGCAGGTCCGGGCCTGACCCCCATTTAACTGTTTATTTTTATTGGTAATAGCATATTGTGTTAATTACTTTAGCTTTTTAATAACAAAAACATTTGTCAAGGAGAGATTGCAAATTTATATTTCTTGACAAAAACATTTGTCAAGGAGAGATTGCAAATTTATATTGCAAAATTGCCTTGGCCATTATTGACATTTTGCTCTTCTATGTGAATTCTACTATCAACACGTGTAGTTTCATTTACAAAATCATTTTGGCTGTTTTTTGTTTTTAGAAACAAATGTTCTTTAGACAGAATCATAAAAGAAATTTTAAAAGAGCAGTGCCACATGGAAAATGAAGGTGAACATATTCTCTGAGGAAAGCCATGTCCTAAAAGAAAAAAGGGCAATTATTCATTAAAATACAAGATTTCAAAATATAGTAAATGCCTGTGAAAATCAGTCATTTCTTATGGACTACCTTTGTGCAATACCTACAATCTATTCCTGTAATATTCTTTTTCATACGTCAAACTTTCTTTTCAGTTTTTTTCTTTTTAAGTTTTCTTTCATTATTTAAAATTTTCAGCATTATTTGTTTACAATTCACTATGCTATGTATTTCATCTTTGCATCATTTGCAATACTGAAGGTATAAATTGTGTAGAGACTTTCAGGAAGTTCTAATTCATTGCATAGATTTTTGCAAATTTGACTTCACAAAAGTATATTATCACAACAATGACTTTGTGTGTAAACATTGTGCCTGCTTAAAAGAGCAGTGCCACATAGAAAAATGTTGAAACATCTTCAGTAAATGGAGAGATGTTCCTTTTGTGCATCCGCATTTGTGAAAGATAAAATTTCTCAAGATCTCAGATCTTTGAATATCCATATGTTATGATGGTGATTCATTGTGGTTTTTGACCAAGCCCATCAAAAGACTTGGGTTGTGCATCACAGTATTTCAGATAACTGCAATTTTTAATCTGGGTGCACACAATTTCCAACAATGGTGATATGCACTTAAATATTTCCCTTTTTGACCTATTTCTTAATGAATAAGTTTTATTTGCTTATCACTGTTATAGTCGTATGACTGTTGTTAGTATACCCAAGTGGTTATGCTTGCAAAAATATGTATTTTTGCCTGTTTTATCGTTTAAAGTAGCCTGCAGTGTTCTGTCCTGTTTTAATGTGTCTCAAGTAAACTCCCTTTTGAAAATGTAAATGCATATCTTTAACATTTTTTAAAATGTTTTTTCCCAGAATTATAGTTTCGTGATTTTGATCTTCTGGGATTTCAACATTCAAAATTATGCCATTTGGGGTTGTATCTTGGGGGTTATAATTGGCTCCCATAGGAAATGAACTGAAGTTTACATTGAATTTCATTTTAGAGTAAATGAGAAAGCAGGAGAGAGTGAACTTTATTGTTTTACTTTTATTTATTTACTTATTTTTAATTAATTAATTATTATTATTATTTGAGACAGAGTCTCGCTTTGTCACCAGGCTGCAGTGTGGGTGGGATCTCAGCTCATTGCAACTTCTGCTGCCCAGGCTCAAGTGATTTTCCTGTCTCAGCCTCCTAAGTAGCTGGGACTGACTACAGGCCCTCACAGCCATGCCCAACTAATTTTTGTATTTTTAGTAGAGACGTGTTTTGACCATGTTGGCTAGGATGATCTTGATCTCTTGACCTCGTGGTCCACCTGTCTCAGTCTCACAAAGTGCTGGGTTTATGGGTGTGAGCCACTGAGCCCGGCCTTAGTGTTTTATATGTACTTGGCCTAATTTTTTCTTTTTTTTTTTTTTTTGGGACGGAGTTTCGCTCTTGTTACCCAGGCTGGAGTGCAATGGCGCGATCTCGGCTCACCGCAACCTCCGCCTCCTGGGTTCAGGCAATTCTCCTGCCTCAGCCTCCTGAGTAGCTGGGATTACAGGCACGCGCCACCATGCCCAGCTAATTTTTTGTATTTTTAGTAGAGACGGGGTTTCACCGTGTTGACCAGGATGGTCTCGATCTCTTGACCTCGTGATCCACCTGCCTCGGCCTCCCAAAGTGCTGGGATTACAGGCTTGAGCCACCGCGCCCGGCCCAGCCTAATTTAATTATTTTAGAAATACTACTTCATTTAATTCTTATGAGACTCCTATGAAGGTTGATATCATCATCTTTATTTTAGAGGATAATAAAATGAAGCTGATTGATTGTTGAGCTTCAAATTCAGAAATATGAGAGAGGCTGTGTATGAATGATGAGTCATTCACTGTAACAAAATATATAAGAACATGAATTCTGGAGTCCAATAGATCTGAGTTTGAACCTTTGCGTTGGCACATCCAGCCGTGGGACACTGAACATGTCACTTCCGTTGTCTGAGCCTCAAGCTTCCTCAGCTTTATTGCTTAGTTTTTTGTGAGCATTAAATTATACAAGAATGTACTTGTTATGTTCCATGCTGTACAGTAAGCTTGCTTCCATTCACTTATGCAACAAATGTTTAAACAATTTTTATTGCATAATATTTTTTATTATTTAAAAATGATTTGCATATATTGAGCCAGCCTTGCATCCCAGGAATGAAGTCAACCTGATTAAGGTAGATAAGCTTTTTGATGTGCTTCTGGATTTGGTTTGCCAATATTTTATGGAGAATTTTTGTTCTCAGTAAAATTGTGTTCTTTCTGATGAATCAATGTTCATCAGAGATATTGGCCTGACATTTTTTGTTGTATTTCTGACAATTTTTGATATCAGGATGATGTTGGCCTCATAGAATGGGCTAGGCAGGTGTCCCTCCTTTTCAATTGTTTGGAATAGTTTCAGAAGAAATGGTACCAGCTCCTCTTTGTGCCTCTTGTAGAATTCAGCTGTAAGTCCATCTGGTCTGGGCTTTTTTGTTGATAGGCTATTTATCACTGCCTCAATTTCAGAACTTGTTCTGGTCTATTCAGGAACTCAACTTCTTCCCGGTTTGGTCTTGGGAGGGTGTATGTGTCTAGGAATGTATCCATTTCTCCTAGGTTTTCTAGCTTATTTGTATAGAGCTGTTAGTAGTATTCTCTGATGATTGTATTTCTGAACGGTCAGTGGTAATATCCCCTTTATCATTTTAAATTGTTTCTATTTAATTCTTCTCTCTTTTCTTCGTTAGTCTAGCTAGACATTTATCTATTTTTTTATTTTTTCTTTTTTTAAAAAAGCTCCTGGATTCATTGATTGTTTTTGTAGGCTTTTTTATGGCTCTATTTCCTTCAGTTCCACTCTGTATCCTGGTTTTTAAAATTTTTTTGTCATATAAAATTATATGTGAATGTTGAAATCCTGAAAGATAAAAATCTGGAAAATATAAAATGTATAAAACATATATGTACAGTTTAAAGGATAATAACCAAATGAACACCTGTGCCCAGCACCTGGTTTATAGGTGCACTGTCAGCCCTCCTGAAGCCCAAGAGCCCACCCCGATCACATCCCCTTCCTCTCTCCTGGAGGTAGCCAGAATACAAATAGTGTCAACTGTTCTCTTGCTTTTCTTTATATGAATAGTTTTACTATATATGTATGTGTTCCTAAATAATATATGCTTTAGATTTGCCTGTATCTGAACGTTTTAGAAACAGTTTCATCTTGAGATATAATTGATAAAGCTTACCTGTTTCAAGCATGAATTTGAACTTTTAATAAACATATACTGCATATTGTTCTGTGATTTCCTTTCTTCTAATCACCATTATGTTTTTGAGAGTCATCTAAGTTGATGTATTTGGTTGTATTTTATTCATTCTCATTCTTGTAGTGTATTTCATGAAACAAAAATACCATAATTTGTTTGCATTCTACTGTTAATGTACATATGGGTTGTTTTCCTGTTTTACACTGTTACAAATGATACTACTATGGACATTTTGACCATGCGCACATGTGAGAGTATAACTAAGAGTGAAGCTGTTCTGTTGTAGGGTATGGGCAGGATGGAATTTCTATGTTTTGTAGGAGGACAAGACCACCACTCCACCCAATATCTGAAATAAAAAGACAAAAGCTGATTGAGCGACAATCGTTAACAAGAGCCACGTTGGTCAGGCACAGTCTTACTAAGCAGAGCAGATTCTTGATCTTATTTATGCATGGATCTGGGAAGCTGGGAGTTCAGGGGTTTGTGGACTTTTAGAATGTGAGGGGTTGTTGACAGATTAAGAAACGTGGTGTTCAGGTAAGACTGTTGTTGATTGGTTGGGAATCACTAATTAGAGTGAGTCTGTTCCTAATTGGCTGAAAGTCAGAAGTGAGGGGCTGTTATGATTGGTTGTTCTGAAGAACATGTTTACCAGAGGTGGGTTGTCACTGATTGATTGAACGGTTTAAAATATGGGGGGCTAAATATTACCAGGGTTACAGAAAAACCAGTTTTTCCTTGCAGCATGGGAAGTTTTTTATGTTCAAAAGATATTGCCAACAAATTAATTGTCCAACTAATGTCTTTGTCTAACTTGTTACTATGGGAAAATTTTCAAATATAAACAAACTAGAGAGGATAGTATAGTAAACTTCTATGTACTCATTACCCAGCTTCAGTAATTCGCAGTTAATATCCAATTGTGTTTAATCTATATGCTACTTACTCTCCAAACTTCTAAATTATTTTAAAGTAAATCTGAAACATCCTATGATTTCTTATCCATAAATGTTTCAGTATGCATTTCTAAAAGATAGGAACTTTTTACAAAAACCTAATGTATTATGCTTAAAATTATGCAGAATAATCTCTTTTCTTTTCTCTTTTTTTTTTTTTTGAGACGGAGTTTCGCTCTTGTTACCCAGGCTGGAGTGCAATGGCGGGATCTCGGCCCAACTCAACCTCCGCCTCCTGGGTTCAAGCAATTCTCTGGCCTCAGCCTACCGAGTAGCTGGGACTACAGGTGCGCGCCACCACGCCCAGCTAATTTTTGTATTTTTAGTAGAGACGGGATTTTACCATGTTGACCAGGATGGTCTCGATCTCTTGACCTCATGATCCACCCGCCTCGGCCTCCC